CAAAAATGGGAGGGACCTCACAGAAGCAGAAGACATCAAGAAGAGGTGGCAAGAATACACAGAGGAATTATACCAGAAAGATCTGGATGTCTCGAACAACCCAGACAGTGTGGCTGCTGACCTTTAGCCAGACATCCTGGAGAGCAAAGTCAAATGGGCCTTAGAAAGCATGGCTACCAACAAAGCCAGTGGAGGTGATGGCATTTCAGTTGAACTATTTAAAATCTTAAAAGATGATGCTGTTAAGGTGTTACACTCAATATGCCAGCAAGTTTGGAGAACTCAACAGTGGCCAGAGGACTGGAAAAGATCAGTCTACATCCCAATACCAAAGAAGGGAAGTGTGAAAGAATGCTCCAACTACCACACAATTGCACTCATTTCACATGCTAGCAAGGTTATGCTCAAAATCCTACAAGGTAGGCTTCAGCAATATGTGGACCGAGAACTCCTAGAAGTACAAGCTGGATTTCGAAGGGGCAGAGGAACTAGAGATCAATTGCTAACATGCGTTGGATTATGGAGAAAGCCAGAGAGTTCCAGAAAAACATCTACTTCTGCTTCATTGACTATGCAAAAGCTTTTGACTGTGAGGACCACAGCAAACTATGGCAAGTTCTTAAAGAAATGGGAGTGCTTGACCATCTTATCTACCTCCTGAGAAATCTATATGTGGGACAGGAAGCAACAGTTAGAACTGGATATAAAACAACTAATTGGTTCAAAATTGGGAAAGGAGTACAACAAGGCTGTATATTGCCCCCCGGCTTATTTATATGCAGAATACATCATGCAAAAGGCTGGACTGGAGGAGTCCCAAGAGGGAATTAAGATTGCCAGGAGAAATATCAACAACCTCAGATATGCAGATGATACCACTCTGAGGGCAGAAAGTGAGGACGATTTAAAGAACCACTTAATAAAGGTGAAAGAGGAGAGTGCCAAAAATGGTCTGAAGCTCAACATAAAAAAACTAAGATCATGGCCACTGGTCCCATCAACTCCTGTTAAATAGTAGGGGAAGATATGGAGGCACTGACAGATTTTACCTTCTTGGGCTCCATGATCACTGCTGATGGTAACAGCAGCCACGAAATTGAAAGATGCTTGTTTCTTGGGAGGAGACAGCATCTTAAAAAGACATCACCTTGCCAACAAAAGTCTGCATAGTCAAAGCTATGGTTTTTCCAGTAGCGATGTATGTGAATGCCAGAGCATAAAGAAGGCTGACTGCCGAAGAATTGATGCTTTTGAATTGTGGTGCTAGAGGGGACTCCTGAGAGTCCCCTGGACTGCAAGGAGAACAAACCTATCCATTCTGAAGGAAATCAACCCTGAGTGCTCACTGGAAGGACAGATCCTGAAGCTGAGGCTCCAATACTCTGGCCATCTCATGAGAAGACTCTGTGGAAAAAGCCTTGATGTCGGGGAAATGTGGGGGCAAGAAGAGAAGGGGACGACAGACGACGAGATGGTTGGACAGTGTCACCGAAGCTACCAACATGAATTTGATCAAATTCCGGGAGGCAGTGGAAGACAGGAGGGCCTGGCGTGCTCTGGTCCATGGGGTCATGAAGAGTTGGACACAACTTAACGACTAAACAACAACAATTTACTCAACTCCATTTTGTAGAATGTATATATGTAAATTATTCATGAGTTAGATTGTGTTTTAGTTTTTATCCTTAACACCAGATCAGCATACACTTAAACATTCTTCAAAATTAACAGGACATGTCACCTGCATATTGGCACTCCTGGGTTCAAAACATTTTTAACCATAGTGACGGTATTTGACTGGTTCCTCAACTTTAAGTTACTTAACAGAACACAGCTGTATCTTGGGGCTCAGTGCACCATAATAATTTTTTATTCCTGCATGTCAGCATTTTCAAAGACCTTATACCCTTAGAATTCTGTATCAAGTGCTTGGGTAGAGGAGATACTCTCTTACAGAAATAATAGTTTCACTTATATAAAAAATAAGCTCCACTAATGCTTCCTGGAGTAGAGCATGTTAATTTCATTTGTGCACGTAAAAAGAAAAATAAGTGAATTCAGAGGATATTTACTGAAACTGACCTAGCTTTAACACTCCCAGCTCAAGCCCTGATGCAAAACATGAGGAGCCTTCTTGCAACTTTGGTTGCCTTGGAAGCAGTTACCAAATAACTTTGAGCAAGCTCATAACACAGGAGGGTGGCTGTGGCTGGCATAGATGGTGTGTCACACTTGCCACAGGCACCATCCAGTACTGGCTAGCAAAGTTCTATAGCTAGCTTTGTAGCACAAGGTGTACTACCTGGAAGGAAAAGGGGAAGAAATCCCATTACTCCATTGCTTGCTACAAAGGTGAGGCACAGAAGTGTAACCTCAGAGGAGAGGATGAAATGACACAGAAGCATGACAACAGAGTACTCATTGTATTCAGAGGACAGATAGTGTGAGAAAAGTCTTCACACAGAAATAGAATAAAAATATTTCCTTCCCTTCTTGTGTACCTGGGGAAAGTATAAATAACTAAGAGTGCCTGACAATATTCCTGGTACCCATACAAGGGAAAGGCTTACTTTCACAGTATTTTTATTCCTCTGCTTACACCATACAAGATCACACTCTTACATTTTACATTAACCAATTTAGAGTATCTAGCACAGTCTCTTATTAAACTGATGCTTTGTCATGTATGTAGATTAGAAGCCTCACTACACTAACAAAAAGCAGAGACACACAAAAGGAAAGGAAAATTCTTTTTAAACTCTTCTTGCAGGACATAGAACCATCCCAGGGAAATACTATTTGAATTGCTCAAAGGCTTAATCCATACTTTAGCTAACTCAGACACACAACGTGTAAGGGCAAATGTAATTTCAAGAGGTAAAGGTATGTTTTACCCATTCAGAACAGCCCGACTCACTTTGGCCAAAGCTTTTTGCGGACTTTGGTGGCTCAGAAAGAAGAAAAAGAATATAGCTATTATGATCAAAACAATGGCAATCTTATTACTTCCCTAAAATATCAAAATTAATTCATTTTCAGTTGCAGCCATGCCTACATCAGTAAGGCATCAGCACATACAAGAATGTCAAATTTCACTAAGTGGCAAGTGATAATGTACTGAAAGAAAGACATAGTATTTTGATTTATTTTATTACAGTATTTACTTTTGTACTGGAATCAGCAGGTACTTTCAGGGTTATACTGTCTCAACTCAGTATACAGTGACCCAGGGAATGAATAGAGTATACTACAGTAAGAGCTCTAGAGAAAAGGGAGGAAATTTAATTCTTCATGTAGATTTCAAGGATTCACAATCTTAATATCCAATCCATTTCGTCTCTCTTTTCAGTAAAATCTTATGACTGATTGTGTCATCTCATCAACTGCTACAAAATCTAAGTGGCATGTTGTAGTATTCTATAAGGAGAGTTGAACCCAAGGGGGTCTCTAGCATCGTACGCCTGATACTGCCATCATGTTCTTCTGTACACACATCAAGAGCCTTGGAAATTTCTCCTATGCAAAGCTTGCTGCAAGGACAGCTAATGCATATACCACAGAGCCAACTGTTGCAAGTGGTGAAATGCCTTGGAATACAATTTTTCTTAGTCTGGTACTTAATAAACCACAACACTGTGGTTCAAAATCAATGGGTGTACTGTATCTGTATTCTTTCATGGTCCCTGAAGAAGTCCAAGAAATAATCAATAAGCCAAAATGCGTTGGAGTATTTTAAGGATTGAAATTTAAAAAAAAAAGAAAATAGATCTCTGGATTCCACTTCTCTTTGCCTGCTAGATTAAAAAAAATGTTTCTAGATGCCTTTCTTTTGTCTCCCATTACAGACATGCTTTGTCATGGAAAAAACTAAAACTGGAAAGAGCACGATGGATTTCACATTTGAGCGCTGTAAAGAGCTTCAGTCAATCAAGTTATACAGAAAAAAGATTTTCTCACAGGGATGGATAACCTGGCATTTTGGACAAGCCTCAAATGCTCCACAAGCATGGCTGCAACCAAGAACTTGGAGGATACTTAGTTACTACACTATATAAGGATTAAATAACCTAGTATTCTGTACGAATATGTCCAAACTAGAGAATGTAATCCACTGCATAGAAAGTGAAGGTTCCCATGCCAGACTATAAACGGGTTTATAGTCTGGAACTGTAAACGTATTCCATTTTGTTTCCTAAAAGCTCAAGACCACTCATTTCTTTGACCATAAAACTAACAGTTTTTACTGGCACAGAGCTCACTAGCTCTCTACACCCCCTTTTCGTGAGCACAATTCACATGCAAATGCTACAGAAAAAGCATCCAAAAAGTGAAAATTTTCTAGAAATTGACAGCTGATACTGTTTTATTATTTCACTCTATCAATTAAAAGCAATCTAATGAATTTCTCTGGAAACTGGATTCCCAGTGTGATGTAGTGGATAGAGCAACAGACTAGGACTCTGCGGAACAGGGTTCGAATCCCTACTCAGGCATGGAAACGTGACTGGAGTGGAAGTGGTAAAGCCACTCCTTAAATACCTCACTTACCTTGAAAGCCCTATTAGGGTCACTATAAGTCAATTCTGATTTGATGGCACAGAAACACCCAATTTCTTACACTGATAATCAAAGGCAAACTTGTGTAAATATGTGAAAGGTATGATGCTCAGTCTTACAAAGCAATAATATAAACTTGTTTTGTTCATGAAGACACTGTATTTACCTAAAAACATCAATCTTACACACACAAAACCAATCCTTCAGGATCCTAACTGCCGACTCCAGCTCACAGATGCCTAGCAATTCTACCTGTGTGCTTCATGGTCACAACTGTACAATAGCTCCAACCCAGACTTAACTTGCGGGCCTTGTTGGCTGGCTAGCTCCCAACCTCTGGCTGTGGAGCAAAGGGTTGGAAGTTCGATTCCCTGGTGTGCCTCCTCCAAGTACAGCCTGCCTCTGTGGCCTTGGGCAAGCTGCTCAGTCCCAGGGAGCCTTTAGAAGAAGGGAATGGTGAACCACTTCTGAGCACTCCCTACCTGGAAAACCCTGAAAAGGGTTGTTACCGGCCAAATCTGGGTTCAGGTTTTTCTCCCCCTATCAGGGTCACCCTAAACCTGAACTGACTTGACGGCACATGATTATTATCATTATGACCGACACGGTCCCTCCGCATTTTAGGCAGTCCTGGGGCCAACTCCACGTGTCCCCTGCCTCCCTTTTTCTAGAAAACGGAAACACCAGCGAGGGGGGCAGAGTAGCCGCTCTTCCTCAAGAGGCCCCGCACAAACGAAAGCCGCTAGGGCTGGCAAACGAGTGATCGGCTTGCGGAGGGATTAGCCCTACGGAGTTGGGGCGAGCGAGCGACGACGACGACAACTCCGTGCCTCTCTTTCCGATTTCGTGCCAAGCGGGGCGGGCAAGGCCGGGACAAGAGAGGGAGACACAACACGGAAGGACCTGGGCACGTTCTGCCTCTTCCCACCCACCCAGCCAAGTCTAGACGGGTTTTCACCCGCACGCCGGCTGGGGGACGCCCTCCCGGGGGGGGTGTCTCTGCCCGCAGCCGCGCCTCCTCCCGGCGTGCCTCTCTTTCCGATTTCGTGCCAAGCGGGGCGGGCAAGGCCGGGACAAGAGAGGGAGACACAACACGGAAGGACCTGGGCACGTTCTGCCTCTTCCCACCCACCCAGCCAAGTCTAGACGGGTTTTCACCCGCACGCCGGCTGGGGGACGCCCTCCCGGGGGGGGTGTCTCTGCCCGCAGCCGCGCCTCCTCCCGGGCTCCCCGGCCGGCCCGGCCCAGAACGAGGGCGGGGGGAAAGGAAGCCCCGCGTCGGCCAGAGGCTTCTTCTCACCTGGTAGCGGAACATGATTGACGGGGCGCGCGGAGTTCCCCTCCGTCCCTCCCCAGCGCCCGGGAGGCTCCGCGCGGACCCTGCTCCAGCCCCGGGACCCCGCCCCCTCCACGACGTGCCCCGCGTCATGACGTAATCGCCAGAAGTCCGTCGCAGGTTTCCTCTTGCGCAGCTAGAGCCGAGGCGCATGCGCCCAAGCAGCACCGTTGGGTTGTCGGTCCCGCTATTAAAAGGAGAACTCGTCTTCTTTTCACCCCGTCGGGCGCAGTGCCGGCTTAAAAGGACAGAGCGTAGTTTTCTGTTTCGCAGGGCAAAGAAGCCTGTTCCACCCTTCAAGGGGCGGTGCTTTATCGCTGGCATCTTCAACACGCAATTGCGTGAATCGATCTTGAGTTAACTTTGTTTACACTTCGGCATCGCATGGGAATGTCAGAAACTGTGCAATACTTACATGTCCTGTCATGGCCCTTTTGTGTAGCCTGTATAATTAAATTGTAAACCGCCCAGAGAGTGCTTGTAGCGCTATGGGGCGGTATATAAATAAATAAATAAAAAACCCTGCAAGGAAAGCGTGTCTTGTCACTTAGGAAGGTTATCTATATTCCACTGCCGAACCACCACTTGCTAAAAGGTCATTCTTCTGAGCAACGCTTAAGTCAACACGTCTTTTTTGTAATTTGAATCTGTAGGTGCATGTCTTGTCCTCTGTTGCAGCAAAAAAAGAAAATTGCTTAGTGCTTATGTGACAACCATTTCTTGCCCAAAGATACAACTTTACATTCCCCCACCCCGGTACGTCGAAAAGTTCGTAAATCGAGGCAAACTTTTCTATAGGAATGCATTGAAAACCATTTAATCCGTACCTGCTGTTTTTTGTTCTTAAGTGGAGGTGCTGTTCTTAAATGGAAGCATTAGTTCCTATAGGAACTACTGTAATGCAAAGCCGGTTAATCCTTATCTACCACTAGGGGGCGAATTTTTTTTTTTTCTTTTGACCTAAGGTGAACTTGGGTCAAAAAAGGGCAGGAAAGGGTTTTTCTCTCTCTTTTTTTGGTTCATAAGTTGCTTCAACCTACTCCGTTCGCAGGTCGAAGCAACTTTTTGCAAGCGGAGCCGTTCGTAACTCGAATCATTCTCACCTAGGGACATTTGTAAGTCGAGGTACTTTGAATCCTGATTCTGCCTTTTGAAGTACTGGCTCCCTCCCAATCCACTTTTATATAATCCACAACTTCAATGAAAAAAAATCTTACCTAGTCACTCACCGAAGGCTGCGATTACATTGGCAAGCCAAATTAGAGCAATTCAGCTTTGCTGTGATTAGATTCAGACCCTATTTTACCTTGTCCACACTGATTGCTCAGTCTGATGTAGTGTGAGCCACAGTCACCTTACAGCCCCACTTCCTTCAGCCCTGGCCTCTGCTGGTTTCCAGCCCTCCTTTTATGGTCCATTGTAAAGCTAGTGGGCTGCTTAAAATTTTGCACAGTGTTAAGGAAAACAGACAATTTCTCAAAATTCTCCATAACATATCAAAACATACACACATGCAGTATGGCAGAAACATAGTAGTCTACTGTAGTTAGAGTTGTTTTTATTTCATACTGATTTTTATCTCTCTCCCTTTTTGGGGAGGATCAGGGCGAAGTGATCTAGCACTAAACTAATATATCAATATATTGGTTAGATCAGTGGTTCTTAACCTTGGGTCTGCCAGGTGTTTTTGGACTGCAACTCCCAGAAGCCTTCACCACCAGCTCGGCTGGCTGGGGTTTCTGGGAATTGCAGTCCAAAAACACCTGGGAGACCCAAGGTTAAGAACCACTGGGTTAGATGATCTAGTGTAGTTTGTTGTACATTTTTTAAAAATACTTCAGGGTGACTGGGGAGAAAGATTCCAAGGATGATTGTTCCCACAGTTGAAAAACATCACATCCAGCTTATTATGTCACCAGAATCCTACCCGCAGTCCTGCCCCCATCCTTTCAGAGAGAAAAACCAACTGACCAAGAAGAAAGCACCCTTCAGATAGCATTTAAAAAGTAGAAGCCCCCAGCAGCAGGATAAAGAACTCTGTATCTGAACCAAAAAAAGGGCCAGGTTGATGACCTTTGCATCATGTGATCAGTTCTGAAAAGTTTGAACATATCCATTTTACTTCTGTAGCAAATCCTATACCATTTTCAGTGTAGCTGCAGGCTAACCCATTTATACAAATGTTAAACAATACCACACCTCTAACAGGATCTACAGCATCTCACTTCTTCTTCTCTCCAGAATGACAAGGAATCACTGGGTCTGATTCCTCAACCAACTACACATCCATCTGACAATAGCACTGTCTAACCCACATATTAACACTTTGGCTACAATAATACAGTATAAGTGCAGAAATCAGGATATGCTGAATCTGCAGCATTTTTCTCATCTGCCAAGATTAATCCAAAATTGCTTGTTACCGAGAAACCCATTATGGCTGTTAATCATCATCTCATTGCTTGGCAAGTGGTCAAAGACTGTTTAATTGTGTTAATTATTTCCTGGTGTTGACGTAAAACTGTTTGCATCCTCCCCTGCCACCTCCTTTTTTATGATGGGAAGCATTTGCACAGTCTTCAAGAATTTTACCTGCTCAAGAATTCTTAAACTTCACAGACAGAGCCTCTAAAATTACGTCTTCAAGTTCCCTTAGTATCCATTAGTGTATTATACTAGAATCATAGAATAACTGAGTTGGAAGGGTCCTATAAGGCCATCGAGTCCAACCCCCCTGCTCAATGCAGGAATCCAGATCAAAGCAGACTGGACAGATGGTTATCCAATTTTCCCTTGAATGCCTCTAGCACTGGAGTGTTCACCACCTACCGAGGTAATTGGTTCCATTGGTGCTAGCATTGGGAACCCAAATTCATTTCAAGCAGCTAGATGTTGGACTGACACCATCTATCTATTACTACCACCATTTAGTCACAAAAAGAGCAAAACAAGAAAGTTGTCCTAGCTATGTGAGGAACACAACGGACTTCTACAGGAACTACAGTCCATTCACAATCTTCCCCCAAGTGCCATCCTAGTCACCATAGAGGTGAAGGTACTTTATAGCATCATGCCATACAAGGATGGATCTCAAGTTGTCAATTCCAAAGGAGGCCACAGCTCATTTAGCCACAAAATTCTGACATCCATTCTTTCTAAGTTACATTAATGATAATGACAATTCTATCATCTGGATTTATGGAGGAGAAGCAACAGAGATGTTCCCTTAGAGGTTCAATAACTTTTCCTCCTAACATCAGCCTGTGCTAGACCAGTCTACAGTCAGGTGCACTTTCTGGACACAGCTGTGGGATGGACATATAAGCATCATTTTATATTGCAAACTGACTGACATATTGTTGTAGTTTTGTTTGCAACCCTGCATGTTGTCTGTAGGTTGTGTGGCTGGTAGGGACTTTTCTGGGTTAAGGTGATAATTTGTCTACCTGGCACTCACCAATATTCCCTTCCAGCTTTTGAATTTAAATAGAGCCACACATCTCTGGTGAGTGCCTTTTCTGTTGAGTGCCTTCCCCCCCTTCTCCCCTCTCTGTTGGTATCAATTGTTTGTTTGCTGTGGATCTGGTTGGTAAATATTTGTGCAGTAAAGAAAGTCTGTCATTTCAAGCAATTATAAGTAAATAAATATGTTTTATTCTTTCTACTACAAATGTCTCAGAGTGAGTAATTGAGTGCCAGTTAATGAGAAAGGGGTGGACTCTAAAGAACTTGTAACTAAGTTAATTTCTACCTCAATATGCATCAAGTTGTTCTATTGCGTCTTTTAGAAGATGTTCTACCATCTGAAAGCTGTCTGATTGAGCAAGACCATCAACATAAATTAAACTTTTGTTCTGAAGAAATAGTTGGTTGTTGGTATAGAAGCTGAACAAAATGGGACAGAATATGCTGCCATGGGGTAGACCAATGTCTTGAGTCCTCCATCAAATGCACTGCCCTTAAAAGTTAACAAAAATATGCTATTTTGCAATAGAATTGCTATTTGGTTGTTGTGGATTTTTCGGGCTGTCCTTTGAAGATGCCAGCCACAGAGACTGGCGAAACGTTAGGAAGAACAACCTTCAGAACACGGCCAAAGAGCCCAAAAAAACCCACAACAACCATTAGATCCTGGCCGTGAAAGCCTTCGAGAATTGCTATATCTTTCGTTAGCTTATAGTTCTTGGTCAGATTATATAAATTTTGCATATTATGTAATTTTTTTCTTACTTCACATTACCTACTAAGTAGTGTGAAGACCTAAGAAAGGAATGATAAAAGCTTTAAAATAAAACAAAGAAAAACACAAAACCATGGGAGGAGACTCACTAACTAGTTTAACATGCTTGCTGAGCATAATCTGAAGACTCCTTTAATTGAAACCAACAGAAAGGAATTAGGAGCCCTGAGATTCTTGGTCAATCAGCCCTATGAATCATGCATGAATCAACACAAAAGCAAGAATGCAATCACATGGGCCCCAGAAAACTACTTTTGCACAAACTCTTATTTTGTTACTGAAGGAAAATGCACGGCTAGCCAAAAGTATTTTGCTGACTGAGGCAAAGAACAAGATGGCCCTTTCTCCCTTTCCATGTATACAAGCTGACAATTGAATATTTAAGTGTGACAATGCAGCAGCATCCCTCCCTCCACTCTACCCAAAGGCAACAGACTACCTGGGGAGGTACAAGGCAGACCCCATGGCACCCCATTGTTTCCTCTAATGCTTTTTCCTGACTGAGGCAGCTGTATCACTTTGTGTAATAGTAGGTCCAGCCCAAAGAAAATGCATACAGTCAAGTCTGACAGGCAGAATGTATATGCACACCAATATGACATTAACGTAAAGAGTCAACCTTACAGCTTTGGGTCACACCAGCTGAAATCTTGTTGCATGAAGAAGAAAACAATCATCTGTAGGTGGGCAACTTTTGATTGCCTTCTAGTAAAACATCTAGTAATCTCATGATTAACAGTCATGAGATGAAGCTAATAATGATCTCTAATACAGAACAAAGATTGGAAAAAAATACCTTTTTAAAAACTACATCTTCTGAATGATGTTATCAGGTGGAGGATTCTAG